CGTTTACCGTGAAGAAAATATATTTTGTGATGGAATTTTCCATCAAAGAATAATACTAATGGATATTCAAAAAGATTTTGTAAGCGAAATCACATGATTACAATTTAAGCTGCTTCTAACCTTTAAAACTTTGAAGTGTTGTTAAAAGTATAAGATTCAGACTAAATATCAAAGGACAGGTAATATTTATCTTTTTGGGGATTGCAGAGCATCTAAGGTGTCTAAATCTAAAGAAAAGTTTACTAGAAAAGATTTAAACATTTAGCAGTTTAATGCTTAAAAAATAAAAACATACCTAATGTGTCGCTTAGATGTTCTGCAAACCCCAAAAAGAAGAGATAACCTATGATTGTATTTTTATGTATTTCCAAAACAACCGGCCTTTCAACCACAATTAGCTTCCAAACTGACAGAAAGTAACTAATTAGATTCGTAAACAAATAGTGACTGGGCGCAAAAAAAATGAGAGCAATCGCTGATGGCGCGACAAATTTCTCTCGACCGCGGCGCGCGGCGAGTAAAGTGAGAGAAAGCAAACGTGATGCGACAATGACACCGACCTTCAACTGACCAATGGAACACCGCTGTCCTGAATCTTAATACTTCAGCTACATCTTATATATAAAATTCTCGTGTCACAATGTTAGTTACCATACTCCTCCGAAACGGCCTGACCGATTTTTATGAAATTTAATATTCATATTCCGTGGGTCGGAGAATCCGCTACTATCTATTTTTCATATCCTTAAGTGATAATGGTTGTCCACCTGTAACTTAGTGTGCTAAAACCTACAATGCGCCTTCGCGCCAAAATTCAAACTATTAGGTATTGTAACGTAGTGTTCTCATATGGGTTAGGAGGAATGTTATCCCAGGAAATTGATAGAACACTACATTACACACCCCTAAATTTTTTTTGGACATTTTTTTTTATAATGAGGTATTAAAAAATACATACAACCCTAAAGGACATTGTTCTGCGTCCATACATTGTTAGCCTAAGAACCAACAATCATGAAATATTATTTTCTAGGTTCGAAGTTGCAAGTAAATGACTATAAAAACAAAGATTATTGACGGACACTTCTGAGAACGTAAATTATCAGGAAAACTTAATATTTTTTGAGGTTATGTTTAATATTAAATGAAACATAGGTCAACTTATGAACTCAGTATGAATTGAATTAACATTACAAGTAATTCATTTTTATTCGATGCGATTTTAAAGAATAACTATTAGGAAACTTGGTAAGGTAGGAATCATGAATAAAATAAAAACTGTAGTTTTGCTTCTTATTTTTTGACTATTTTTCACATAATTGTATCATATTGTATTTTATTTGTATATCAGATGTATATTGTATAAATATGCAGCGTGAATGTGTATCAGCTGCTCTTGAATAATTTGGCAGTATGATCCTCTCAGGAGGTTGTGGCACAGGTTCTCTAGCACTTGGTAATAAGGGGTCTGCTATTTGGTAACATCGATGGCATATTAGATAGCCGAAATAGTTAAACAATCGCAAATAAACACACACAACAGTATTCACGAATGCCACAGATTACTACGAATGCAAACTGCCTGCACCACAACCACAGAGTATCGAATTTTATGCCGGCCCTTCACTTGACAACAGTCTGTCATTGATAGTTTTCCAATTACAACACTACAGCGCATTATGCGGCATAATGCCTATCTTAGCGCACTCTGCTGTTGCATTTGAAAACTAATTCACGTTCCAATTGAGCATCAGTATAATTCGGCATTGTGCGCCACTGTGTTGCATTATGCTCTGTAACTGGAAAACTACCCTTGTCATGCTTATTATGGAATAAAAAGGACAGACTGATGTCAAGTTTTCAAAAAGCAAACACGAATAGCCAAGTGAAGTGCCGGCATTAGGAAGAAAGAGTGTTTTGTTTGCAGCGCTGCCATAGATTATACACATAAAATGGTAGTCTCAGATTATTTTTCAACTTTTTAATATAGCTTACTTAACTGGAAGTGTCCGTCACAATCCAAATACTGATAACTATCGCAAAAAATATACTAAGAATTATCATAAATGCCAAATTGGTGTTGGTTCTTAGGCCAAATTTAACATTGTCCTTTTCTCTTCTACCACCTGCCCCTATTTTTATGGCGGTACGAAGTTCGCTGGGTCAGCTAGTTTCTATTTATAATTGTTAAATGCATTTTAAGAGAGATAGGGCATAGCGGATTTCTCTTCGAACACTACCTTCTGGTGGTGTTGTGTTTCTGTCGGTGGGTAAGGTTCCAGGGTGTAAGGGATTGTAGCGAATAGGCAATGGTGTGATTGATATTTCTGGTGTCATGGTGGCCGCTTACCATCAGGCGAGCCATACGCTTGTTTGCCACTATTTTCACATAAAAAATGCTTCTTTTATATTTTATATGTAACTGTAAAAGAGGTTGTTCGGTTTGGTAGCGGACTGTAGTTAAGTTGGATGGTAACACAAACACTGGTTCATCGATCAAGGTATATTTATGCACATACAAACACAAAAGTAAATACACTGTAAAGTACAGACACTGAAACACTTGGCACTATGGCTAGGACTTAACTTAGGACTCAGAAGTAGTTAAATTAGATTTAATTGGAAGCACGTCCGCACGGTACGGTGGCCGGTAATGGAGAGAGAGAGCCAGCGAGAAACGCTGCTGGTCAACTAGTGCTGTGGCACAATATTTAGTGTTGGGAAACATTCCAACAGAGGTGAGGACTGCTGCCGCTGGTTTTTGGCTTTAAAACAGGCATCTGAGACCGCGATATAATACAGGATAGGATGCTGGTTAAAGAGGAGAAAGGAAAAGGAAGATAGGTTTTTGCAGACAAAACATAATTACAGAGAGGATCCAAAGTAAGCTACATTTAGGTTCGGTCTCCCAAATAATAATTTGTTTGCTAAGTTTTCTCCCAAATAGTTATGTTAGCAACGTTTTGGATAAGTTTTGTTAGTTCTGTCCTCCTGAGTAGATAATAATACTTTAGCTACATTAAATAACCAGATAAAAATGATAATAAATTACCGCAATCCCAAAAGTCTCCTAATAAGCGAATCACTTTTCTTTCCGTGATTCAAATCCTATCAAATCATAATTATTGACTATCAAATATTACCGGAGGATTTTCAGCTTAAAATTCAGTGTTCCACAAATAAACACTATCACGTCAATTCATATAACGGCAAAAAAAATCAACAACAAAACAGAAAGGCATAAATTTGGATTTAAAAATTGTGTGATAAAAATTAAAAACACATTATTATTTTTTAATTCCTGTGAAGACTATTTTAAAAGACTAACGAAACTCGGCTATTTAAAGATAAGTATCTTAGCGCCGATATTCGCCTTGAAAATTTTTTGGCAAGCAATTGGTTTTTTTTTTCTATATACTGACAATTCAAGGGCGAACATGTTTTCAATTGGCTATTGGTGCTAAAATGATGACATTGAGATTAAACACATGTCCTCCTGTTTTATTGTATGCGCTATTAAAACGTGCGTATCTATTTCAGTATTATGATGTGTTTATTATTATGTTGAAATCCTATTGAGCACTGCTGGAGTTCGAGTGGAATTGAAAAAAAACTGTTTTGAAAAGTGTTTATATTTAACGAGCAGCTTATCGAATATCAGTTCATAAACTGCAGCATAAGTTTTGGACTAGAATAAATTGTACTAAAGATAAGAGAAATGACGACTTGTATAAAAAAAGAATACCAAATAGAAAAAACCAACAAAGTAAAGGATTAGGAAGCAAGAACCTTAGATTAAAACAAAAAGGGAAGATACGGTATGCTCATACTAGAATAAAATAAAATATCATCATATTTTATTTCATGTAGTTACATAAGCAACTCTCACACACGCACACGCCTTTATGTAAACATTCAATCGAGCGAGCGAGATACAACTGCACGCTACGGCTGAGCTGTATTGTTATCCTTTTCTTGATAACAAAATGGCGATTATGTAAATAACATTCACGACAGACTGTGATATTTGAGAGAAAAATATTTTTACAGTTTTATGAATGAAAAGTGTTGCCGAGGCATTTGTTATTTGATTTTGAACTATTTGTGTCCTTTATAAAAGCATCGAAGGCATTGTTTTATCTTTATAACACAGAATATACGCAATATTGTTATATTGAGTGTACGTGCACCGTATTTGAATGTCCAATTGTGACTAAAGCCAATCGTGGTCATGCACCACAATTTAAGCGGATCACTTTTGAGCCGCGAGTGCCGTATCTTCCCTTTTTGTTTTAATTTAAAGCAAGACCTGTGATAATAAGTTTTCGTGAATAGATAGCTAAGCAACTAAATCTTACCTGCCAATCTTCAACACGTTCCTACCCAAGGTTGAAAATATGACATTGTCAAATACCTAATCTGTTAAAGCATTTAATACATCCAACTGTATTGATTTGTAGCACCACCATATCCTCAATGGCCTTCGTTTTTTATCACTAATTTGATAGCGTTCGAGAGTAATTGCGATCTTACGTATGCCTGCTGCAGCTTAGACCACCTAAACTGCAGCAGGCATACGTAAGGTAGTGCCTGCAATAAATGCAGCAGTAATTACAGGTAGGGCAAAATCAGGGATGTGCCCACGGAAAGAGGTGTGCCGACCTTAGCAGCCTGCCGCCCCGTTTTAAAGAAGGGCAATGGTATTTTTTTTTTGAAATAGGTCCGCCAGATGACTCCACCACACCTGATGTTAAGTGACGGTGGAGTCCAGACAGGAATATAGCTGGTAGAGCAGTTCGCAGCTCTACCTGCCAGCCGCACCGTTTTAAAGGGCAATGGTATTTTTTTAAATAGGTCCGACAGATGACTCTAACTTACTTGATGTTAAGTGACGGTGGAGTCCACGAATGTAGTTGGTACAGCAGTTCTACCTGCCTCCAGCAGTGGACACTTTAATATTGACTGATGATGATGACGTATTTGATTTTATTTATTTCCAGAATAACGGGCGGGGAACTGTTCGAGCGAGTCATAGACGAGGATTTTGTGCTGACGGAGCGCGCCTGCACGGTGTTCATGAGGCAAATATGCGAGGGCATCGAGTTCGTGCACAGACAAAACATTCTGCATCTTGATATGAAGGTAACTTAGTTTATTAAATTTTCTTATCTTCATCGTACGTAAAGTAAGATACCTTACCTTATCTTATGTTCTCACCTCATATTTATACTTCTCTGTTTTCCTCTCCTCTTTCTGTCTAGATTTTAACACCTCTTTCATCCCTGGCAGTATCCCTTGCAGCCTCGGGTCGAAAGTTGAGACATCTTATTCATCACTTTTTATGTTAGTCACGTACACACAATTTGCGTCAAACCTTATTTAACCCCCCAGCCCCCGGGGACGTATGGAATAGCGTCACCCCGGGACTGGGTCTGACAAATCAATAAATAAACAGACAGGAATAAATCATTATGCATAAATGAGGCCACTGCTATAAAGAGATTAAATAAATATATATAGGTGCGAAGACGCGGAAGAATCCCTAAACGGGGATCCCGCGGCTTTGCGCTCAGCAGCTTAGAGAGTATTCGTTGGGTTTTTTAGCGTATGCCGTAAAGCGCCCGTAAGAGTTACGGGGTCCTCAGTGGGTAGCCACTGCTGGGGCTTGTAAGGCTTGCGGGAACCAGGTGTAAGGTCCGTTCGGCGGTGTGCCTCTTAAAGGCGCCGTCGTCTGTAAACAATTTTTTTTGCCTGCGTATAAAAAAAATATTTTTTTTGTATCCCAAGTGTCTGCTATGTTGGCCGCTTACCATCAGGTAGGCCATAGCCCTTGATCTAATATATTTTTTTCAATACATTTTTACGTGTTTTCAGCGTTGATACTTACTACAAAATATCCATGTCCCAAAACGTCATTCACAATAACTCGCAAAAGTCATTGTTATTAGAATATTTTGTTTAAAAATATAATAATTTAAACGTAACAGTCATCCAACCTATTCAGCTTGAAATGAATCGCAACGATCTTGGCCCGAATTCAAGCAATAAATCAAAATGGCGGAAAACACTATGCGCGGGAGTTTCGTGTGGACGCATTGTTTATTGTGCCTTTATTTCTGTCAACCGATAAAAATACTTTTAATTTAGCAAGCTTTATTTATTAAACCTCAAATATCGCTTAGCATGTGGTGTTTTTTAGTAGATACACTTACTTAAAATAAAAGAACCGTGTTTAAAATATAGAGATGTAATGACGTACAAAATGCTTCACGAAAATATTACATTCGCATAAAGTCTAATGTCATATAAATAAAACATGATTATGTCTCATTCTCGCGTCATACCCGTGTTGCCAATGGCCAACGGTTCGGTGGGTGTTAACAAATCAAATCACAAAAATGTTCACCAACATTGGCTTTGTAGATACTACTATAGTAATATAATATTATAAAGAGGAAAGATTGATTGTTTGTTAGTATTGAATAGGCTGAGAAACTACTGAAACGATTTGAAAAAATCTTTCACATTTAGAATTCTACATTATTCAGATGAAAATAGGCTATAGCTATAGATAGAGTATTTTCAAAAAAGTTAGGGTTCCGGATGGTATAAGAAGAATGGGCCATAATCTACCACGCGAGCTCAGTGTTGATGTGGTGGGTGCTAACGATTTCAGATGCAGCTAGGACCAACAGCCTTCCGAAACATGGAGAAACTCGAGATACCTACTAAGTTTTCGGTCACCCAGCTAGTGACTAGTCATTGAAAAAGTTCCACGATTGCAGTCGCAGACCGAGCTTCTTCAACTACAGTTACTACATAAATAACATTATAGAGTGATGGTGTAGTGAGGAGCTCGATGTGCGCAGGTGGTTGGCGCGCTCAGCTGCGATCGTTGAAGTTAAGCAACTTTCGTAGTGGTCGGTCATTGGATGGGTGACCAAAAATCTTCCATCTCGAGTTCCTCCGTGCTTCGGAAGGCACGTTAAGTCGTTGGTCCCGGCTGCATCTGCAGTCGTTAGCACCCTTTATCCGCACTGGGCCCGCGTGGTAATCACCACGCGGGCCCAGTGCGGATGGCCCAATCTCCCTATTCCATCCATAGGGAAGGCCTGGGCCCCAGCAGTGAGGACATTAATAGGCTGATGATGATGACGAAATAACATTATTGTTTTTAATTCTGAACGCAGCCAGAAAACATCCTGTGCTTGACCAAGGCTGGCAACCGCATCAAGATCATAGACTTCGGTCTGGCGCGCTTCTACGACCCGGAGAAGAAGCTGCAGGTGTTGTTTGGCACGCCAGAATTCGTAGCGCCGGAGGTGGTCAACTTCGACCAGATTGGCTACGGCACCGACATGTGGTCCGTCGGTGTTATATGTTACGTCCTGTAAGTTTTATTTTTATCATAACTTAAAACTAATTTGCTTTGGTCGTCGTAATAACGCTACATGGATAGGTAATGCAAAATAACCAAAGAAAATTTGCTTAAAAATATTTTTTTTAGATAAAAAAAAATATAGCTATTATAATATACTCATCAAAAAAGTCCGAGCCACATTTGTACGGTTTTGAACTTTTGAACGAAATTTACTATTGTAATTAATGTATAAACAGAATCGAAAAGTTTAGCCAACCTACTTTACTAAGAAAAAAAAAATATATCAATAAATACAGTTTCTGTAAATGTTACGTGTGGCTTAGACTTTTTGATGTACTTATGTCTCAATAAAAACTACATAAAGCGTTTATTATATTTTTCATGCTTTTAATTTAAGTTATGGACAGTAATAATTAATCATCATATTAAATCTTTCAGACTATCAGGCCTATCACCGTTCATGGGTGAGACAGACATAGAAACCATGGCTAACGTCACAGTGGCCAAATACGACTTCGACGACGAAGCCTTCAACGAAATCTCAGATGACGCCAAGGACTTCATCAGAAAACTACTCGTGAAAGACAAAGAGTAAGTAGAATGCATCCATGAACAAGTATCGAGTCTAAGAGTTCATCTCAGAATATTTTGTTTAAATCCAAAAACGGTTAAACTTCACATGTATTTGATAAACAGTACGGATAGTTCTTCAGTGTTGTTGATTCGGGCATGATTCTCTAAACCTAAACTTAAATTTGACAACAATAACAATTTTAAACGGCGAGATTGATGTAAAATTTAGTTTTAGATTTAGAGAATCACACTATAATCTACACTAGTTTCTCATTAAGTTTTTGGATTTTATTGTTAACATTAAAAACCTTTGGGATGAACTCTTCAAGCAAAAGCGTTAAATTCGCGTTTTACTTTTCTATTTTCGTTATTATTTTTATTTGCGATCGATGTTTTAACGTTTACTATACCGGTATCATTCCTTAACACAACAACTCTTAGAGGAATGGAAGCTTCATTGAACATTTTATCAAAACATCTGCCTTGAAAAATCGAAACTGTGTCAAGTCAGTCTGTTGATAAAGACCCTTTGTTACTTGTTTTAATTCTATCCAACACTTGAGTTGTCACTAACTGCCTTTAGTTATGCATGAAGTAGTGCTTTTCGAGGATGAATGTAGCGATTACATGGTGTGTCTCGTCTTCAAAGACGGTGTAACTAATTTTTATCAATTATAATCATTAAACGATGGAGTAATAACAACACCATTAAATTGCCACGTAGAATCCTTAGTACAAGTGCTAACCCTTTCTTCTAATCTGATAGTCGTAAGTAGATCGTAGCTGATTGTAGTGAAATCCATTTTCTTCAACTAAACCATATTTTACATCTATATACATTTAAATACATGACTACCTCTGATTCTGAGTAATCGCACTTCCACATATCCTCCTTCTGGCGATCCTTCGCCTCGGTTCCCCGGTACCTTTCATATTTCCATTTTCATGTATGCACGTCACCTCTCCTGTCCCGGCGAGCACTCGACTCTCGGTGTTGGGTCGATAGTAACAAGGGTCTTTGTCGCAGGTGTCGTCCGGGCGCGGCTGACTGCTTGCGGCACCCGTGGCTCGTGAAGCGCTCCCCCGCCAAGAAGGAACCCCCGATACCGCAGCCGTCGCCCAAACACGAGCTAGATGTCGCGAAAGACAACCTCAGGCTCTTCGTGGAACGGTGGAGCGAACACCCCAACTCGCCCTACGTCTTCGACAACCAATCACACGAAATCACGTGCCTAATGAACGGGAACTGCGAGAGATCTTCGGTCGGAGGATGCTCACCATCCCCGAGAAGTTCTTTAGGCAGTTCGCCGGACATGGTCTTCGACGAAGACGATTTGGAACCTCCGCCTCTGAGAGAACACACCTACTTGGCACCGAGATACAACCCGGTCGAGAGGAGAGCATCGGACAGCACATGTTTCCTTCATAAAAAACAGGACGTCTTAGTCAGGAAAAACCTCGCCGAGGAGATCAAGAAGCTGTCGGACCACCTGTTTATGCTGTCCACGATGAACACAGATTTGGCTAATAACAACAGCACAAAAGAGCTAGATAAAAATATCAAAGAATCTAGTACGGTAACGAAAGAGGAGAAGCTACCAAACGGATTCAAGAAAGAAACGAGAACCTTCACAAAGGCTATCGCAAACGGCGACGCGTCGAATACGGAAAGAAAACTGTTCACGTCGAAATCGACGAACAAGATCTCGTCTAGTTTCCTGACAGAAAAACAACCGGACAAGCCGATGACTAGCAAAATGCCATGGGCGAGGAGTACCACGACGACCAGATCCAAGAAGGTCACACAGATGAGCAGAGATGTTCCGGACCAACCGACGGAAAAGCGAAACACTTTCTTCCAAGAGTTCGATAGACGACGGGAGAGGATAGACAAACTAGTCAATGGAGCAGAGAACGGGCGACAGTTGCCGTACAGAAGAGGGGATGAGAACAACGCTCATCGGACGAAGGATTTGCTTCTACATCTTCTGGAAAAATGGGGGGAGACAGAAGGTGAAGAAGCGGAGAGAACGGCCGGAGGCACTTCGAATGGTGGTCGGCATCAATCGATATCTCTAGAATGGTCTCCGTCGAACCAACTGGCACAAAACTCCATGTCTAGCCTCCACGCGTTCTTCCAGCGGCAAACTTCAGACGAGAAGAAGCAGCGGAAAAGAGTCACCAATAACTTACAAAGTACCAAATGATTGTTTTTTGTTCTAGTATAAGACAGGGTATTTTAGTGCCATGACATTCGCAGATATAAGTACCAAGTAACAAATAAGACGATCGTGTTAATATAATTCGAAATTGTTGTTGCATATTAACAGAGTTGTTTGATAATTATTAGGCACGTCACGTACTTAAGCAAGGAGCAAACATTATTGTAAATTAAGTTCCATAATTCTCATTAAATTTATTTAAAGTTACCAAGTAACTTAAAGATTATTTTCTGATAAGGTTTACAATCTTTTATTTGGCAACCTAGCACTGGCAAAGTAACGCTAGGTCGCCAAATGAGGTGCAATGGCAACAAAATGACAATGTTTACGAATCTAGTCCCAAATACATTACATTAAAGTTCTGTATGAAGAGATTAAGGGCAAGACTGAACATATATACAGCTGGAATAAAAATAATAATAAATAATGGAATTTACACTGAACGTTAATAAATTGCATAATTCATTTTTTAACTTTAAATTTAGACTTTTTTGTAAATAATACTAGATAATTATGTCTCTGACATAAAAAAAACACCTAAAAATTTTGTTATCTGAAATTATTTATGAAATACATAATCAGTTAAAAACGGGATTTAAATAGTGAAATGAATATCATATGTAATAAAAACAAAACTACCATTTTAGACAAACAAAGTGTGTAAATTTTGGTTCCTTATTTGTATCGTTCAGACGACATAAATTATCTTCCTGGCCGAACTGAAATAGAATATTTGATAGCGCAGCAATTTTATTCTTTTAAAAATAGTGTGGTTAAAAACACGATGCGAGTGAAACTTTTAAAAGATAACTTTAAAAAAGTCTATTTTCCTGGGCTGAGAATAGAATCGCGACCGCCCGAGTAGCAGGCGATCTTTTTGCCACTGAACCACAGATGCTAGTTAATAAAATTTGTTTTTTTTTTAATTACAATTAAAAATATAATGCTACGAACGAACGCAAACGATTGTGCCCATACAATAACAGTATCACTTTAAATCCAATGTGCAACCAAAAGGCTAACTTGAAACCAGATAAGATATATCGGCTGAACTGTACTTACTTATTTATATACATATTTATTTATTTACAACTTAAGTGTAATTTTAAATTATTGTTATGATATACTTATGTTGTTCAAATATAAGGCTTTATTAAAATTTGTTGTTTGAATTTTATCATCTAAATCTATATCGGTAATTGGTAGGTACCTAATATCTGTAAAGTACATCCCACCAAAAACATTCTGTAAAAAACTAGCCAAGTCTCGATGGAGCTGCTTTTTTATCTCTAAAAAGTAATGAATTCTACACAAAGTCGTGCCAAGTCTAAGGTTCCTTACTGCGATTTATTTATTATTATAGTTAATGTTGTGTGACTTGGCCGTTGCCCTTCAACACCAACCTGTCACCAGAACCGCTACCCATTGACGATGGAAAATTGCCACTCGGAAAACGTTGATTGAATAACCAGACAATTGTAGGCTTGATAAAGTTGCGTTTACACGTAATGTTGCATATATGAATGCATCGGAGCAATGGTGTCCTGTAGCACCTGATTTTATACCCTTGTGTACCCTTCAACGGCCAAGTCACTCAACATTAACTATAATATTAAAGAAATCGCAGTAAGGAACCTTAGACTTGGCCCGACTTTGTCTAGATTTCATTACTTTTTAGAGATAAACAAGCAGCTCCATCGAGACTTGGCCAGTTTTTTACAGAATGTTTTTGGTGAGATTTCACTTCTTTTTGAAGAAACGTGGGCATATTGATTTTTTTTTTTTTATTTGACATTTTTTTTTCTATTTAGGAGTAGTCTTTTTATTATTACAAATCTTTCTTTTCTTTTTTTCCGGTTCTGATTCTTGAACAGTAGCTACAGTTTTTCGTATTGCCCAGTCGCGTTTTTTATTTATTCTTTTAGACGGTTTAATTTCTGAAAGATCGGCGCGGTATTTATGCCTAAGCCGGTTGTATTCGGTGATCGCTGAAGCTTGAGCTTTTATACTGTTGAAGTCAACATTTATGAGGTGCACCCCATGAAGATTGGTTACTCGTGAAAGCGCCACGTATTCTTGGCCACAAGAGAATATGGAGGTGCCAATGTCCATGAGGGCATTTTTTAGACTTAGACCTTGGTATCACCGCCACTCTTAGTCGAATGCATTATATTTTGACCAAATTTTGAGCGAAATTAATATTTTAGTGTAATTTGTTTATTTAATTTGTGTAATGTTCGAGTAGAATAAAGTTATTTTTTCGACTATTTTTTCTTGTAAACTCATAAGTATAAAAGCCAGTCTATTGTTATCCAGAGTTTTCCTTTAATTTTATTTATATGCGTATTAAAAGTAGAAGGGGAGGCATTCGCCCAGCAGTGGAACGCTATATGCTAGATTAAATTAAAAGATGTGTCCAGTGGGACGCTGGATTTTTGCAATGACAGTCGTTTTTTTTTGTGTACCAATAGTAGAAGGCTGCATTACCATATCTCTAATACAGCTGAGACCAGCTGAGGGCTCTTCATCAGATACTTCAGACCTTCTATTTCTAACATCAAATGAAGCGGCCCACCAAGTTGAATATTTTTTGTAAAGGCGGTATGTCGATCTCTTCTAATAGTTTGGTTGGGCTCTTGTGTTTTCTAATCAGGGTCACCAGGTACTCCAGATCTTCGATTATCCTAGTTTTTATAGTTTTTCCTTTATGTAGCCATTAAAACCTAACTCTGTACCAAAGGACATTGCTCGTTCCCCATACATCGAATGCCCTAGAACGCCCAGCAATGAGAAAATGCTAGTTGTGTTCGGAATCATTCATAAACTCTAATTAGGCATTTGTTGAGATACGGACAACTTGAGGAACCGTGGCCTACTACAGAATGTATTAGATTTTGAGGTTATAATTATTATACTTAAACTTAAAAGATGTACACTTTATATATTCTGAATAGATTCAGTATTTACCTCTATGTAAGCACTGAAATAATATGCATTAAATGAACATAAAATGCAATTAATAATAAAAATAATAAATGCTTATATTCATATTGATTTATGAGTGTTGGCAGTTGGCACCTATGATACCTATACCTACCTGTAGTAATAATAGATTTATTTTCAAATGAAATGTTCAAAGTCTTTCCATTTACTTGTTTCAATATTTTACTATCGGTAATTAGGTATGTATCTGGTTATAATTTCATAAAAATAAACAGATATTACATGGGATGGGAGTATAAACTATTTTTACATAATTTCAGAAATAATCTTTTTATAAATATAATATAAATACTAGTAATAAGTATTATTAACTAAGGTACCTAGTTCTATTTTTATGTTGATAAATACCTATGGTCGCCTATATTGCATATTTTATTAAGGTAAACAATCTTGGCACAACTTTTTAACAGAATCACCCATTTAATAATAAAATATTAACCAAGCCAATAAACTATTAAAATAAATCGTTATTATAGACTGAAACCTATTGAATCCAGTTATCAGTTGATTTTTAATGCTGTATTTTCAATAAAAAGGAGTGCTTAGTTTGTTTACCAAATAGGACAAGTTGATGAACAGACTGTAGTATCTAGTAACAGAACTTTTATTTTTTATTTCTTTAAACAGATTGTCCGTTTACTATGATTTATTGCTAATAATTTAAAAAAATAATAGAAAAATAATCGTGAAGGACATTCTTTTGGGCATGCTAGGGCCGATTTCGTCGATGTCCTTTCAGCTCTCTGAGTTTATGGAAAGTACTAATTCTATTCTGATGATCATGAGTGAGTGAGTGTCATAAATGCAAAACTTTTCTTTCGCTTAACTTCGGAACTAAATGACCTACAGACTTGAAATTTTGGATTTTAAGTATGTTATTATAGCTTAGTGGATGCCCAAAATTTCTGCGTTCTGGTTTTATCCAGAGGTTCTCAAATAGGGGCCTGAAAATGCGGCGAAATGGTTCCAGTAAAGGATGGTACGGCAGTGTTTGCTTCACGCTCGACTTGGCGGGGGTACTGCCGTGCCCCCCGATATAAACCACCGGTATCAAGTTTCATCAGGTAATCGAGACAGAAAATTGATGAGGTAAGTACATAGGCAAAATATAGTAGCAAAAGGCTCCAGGTATATCTTTCTAAGGATATTTTCTCAGGCCTTCTTTTAAAAAAAAACTTTTTAAAATTACCTACCCTGATTTCATTTCCTATTTCATGGAGCCCTTAGCCTTAGTCTTAGTATTACGGCGGGCTGTTTCCGCAACTCGACACCCAGTGCCTATTTTGCGTGGCGAATGGCATCAGTCCTGCCATCCCAGCTCCTCCAGAAAGCTCAGCAGTCCCCGAATGTTGTTGCAGGCCTCTACTATTGTCTTCAGGCTTCCCCTTAGAGAAGTCCTTTGTCTTGCAATGCCCCTGCACTCCAGTAGGACATGGGCGCTCGTCTCATCCTCTTCCAGGCAGGCTCTGCAGAGAGGGCTATCAGAAATACCTATATTACAAAGGTGTTTGTTGAAGTAGCCGTGACCCGTGAGTATACCCACGACTTGTTTTAGGGCTTGTCTAGGTAGTCTGATTAAATCTTAGGAACGGCTTCCCTAGCTTGCCTGCAGTCCGTGAGTTTTGACCAGTACTCGTCGTGTTGTCGTTGAGAGCGCTCCCTTATCCAGGTTCGCAGCTGTCGATAGGGTATGGGTATAATTAGCTCCGGACCGGCCGTCCTGCTGGACCCCTCCCTGGCTAAGCAGTCCGCCGCATTTAATCCACTGTAAGGTCAATCTATTGTCGTTAGCAATATTAGTCAACTTACTGTGGCATTCATAAATTAAGCCTGATGTCATTATATTGTTGTTCAGTTCCTGTAGGACAGAAGCGCTGTCAGAGAGAATACGAATATGCTTTCCTCTTACCCCGCGACAATCTATCGCCTCAGCGGCTCTTATGATGCCCACACACTCTGCCTGGAAGATCGTGTTATAGGCTCGCAATGCTGTCGAGATGTGTATATTTAGATCTTCGGAGAAGACATCCGAACCTGTACCATAGTTGATTTTTGAACCGTCTGTGTAGACCCTCAACTCCTGATGCAGACAACGGTCCGAAGTGTCTTCATAAAGTTGAATTTTATATTTTTTGTCGAATACGTACGTCTTAGGAATAAGGTCGTTTACTGCTGCAAAGTACGGAGAGTGCCTATGTATGTCTGCTAAGATGCTGGTGTGCGGGGAGCTGTTGTCCCTCCATAGCCCCAGCATGCTTAGGCGTGTAGCTGTACAAGCAGCTTCCTGTTGTATAAACATATGGAGTGGTCTCACGTTAAGTATTGTCTCCAGTGCTGATGTGGGAGTGGTTCGTGGAGCCCTATATATCCGACAGAAACAAACGTCATTAAAAGATACATGTCTAGTTTAGAATCTCGTATACAATACAATACAATACAATACAAAACACTTTATTGTACACCACATATAACATTAAATTTAGTACATAACCAAATAAAACTAGTGTAACAATGGGCGGCCTTATCGCTTAGAGCGATCTCTTCCAGACAACCTTTGGATGGAGAGGACTAGAAGGAAGTGGGAGAGACGGCGGTGTAAATCACTTGAGTGATATAGGTGATAATATATACAATTATATATGTACATACATAAATATATAATAAATAAATACATACATACACATAAATAAACAAATCTAGTTCAGTTGGTAGTAGTCACAAATTAGATTGGCATCAAAAGTTATAAGGACAAATAATGGGACTTTACGAGGTTTTTAAAAGCGTGGATAGATTCTGCACGTCGTATGGTAACTGGGAGAGAATTCCACAAATGTACGGCACGCACTGCAAACGGACGGTTATAAAATGTTGTAGCATGTACAGGAGTCATGAGATGAGAGTAAGATTTTCTGATGACCTAAGGGATAACGTGTTAGAAGTGTGAAGTAAATTAAAACATTCCTGGAGATAGCGCGGGGTCTTAGGATTAAACAATATATTGTAAGAGTAGGTACTTGTAGACCAGGGTCGATTGAGACCAAAAAAAATTATAGTAGGATGAAACCCATTAGAAAAGGTAGAGAATATAACAAAAATGAAAGGAAAATTAATTACGGGCGATCTGAGGTCGGGAAGGGGGAGGGGGTGAGTTTTTAA